GAGCGCACTCCTCCTGGTACCCTCTTTTTTTTCGGCTGCAGAGGGGGAGTATGAGTGTTTAGCCCATACATACACACCGTACATGATGCATATAAATATTAAATGGTGATAGAATACACAAAACATTGAATTCGATGAATAGATAGACAGATGTTCGCTCTATCTAGTGGTGTAATTCACGTGTTCTGGCCGTCATTATTGGTGGAGCTAGCTCCAAATTAGCTCCTGATATAACTCTTCTGTAATTTTGGTCGATGCACCCTATTCCCAGTTTCCGTTCGGAAAACAGACATTTTCACGATTTTTTGAGCGCCCAAAAAATGGGTTACAACAGTAGTAATATCTATATAGGAAATATATGTTCCCTTGTGATCTCTACTGTCAAACTTTCATGGCTATATCCCTTCTGATTGTTGAGATATAGGTTGTTGAATTGTGGGCTTGCAGTCCATAGGTGATGTACTCATGTCCGGGGTTTTTAACCGGCGGCGCGACAGTGCTCCAGAACGAGCTACCTGAGTATTTTGGCCATCGAAAAATACTCAGGTAGCCCGCGCTGTTCTTGAGTATAGAGTCTTTGGGATCTATAAGCCATTGTGTTTAAACTTAGCGTAGCTAAGGAAAATTCGGTGGGTTTTAGTGTAGAAATCAGTCAAATAAAGCCCAAAAATGTGCAAATCAAGACGATTTGAAAGGGTTTTCTCTTGAAAACAATTGGCTTCGAGAGATTGTACGCTCATGACCAATTCCAATTCAAAGTGTATCTTTAGGCCAATCATCTCTGAATTACGGAACTCTGAGTTTGTGCATCTGATAAACAATGTTTACAAATGGCTCCACAGTCGTAATTTAAACTGTCATTTGGATTGAGCTGGTTTGAAAATTCACCAGAGTTTAAATCGTCTAAATGACTTGTAGATTCTAGCACAGGAGGTTACCACACTGTGAGAGGCCCTTACTATAAAAGCAGAGAGCACAGGCTCAATAGATTGTTTGAGCTTCATTACAAGCAATACCACCATAACTCTCAATAACGCTCTTCAGTTTTAAGGGTGATCAGTGTCAAATGTGTTTGGTGTACATTTGACAGACTTGAAATGTTCGGTTCAATTTGACCTAATCTTATGTATGTGGCTAGTTGAACAAACCAAGACTTGATGACTTGTGGACGCCATATACATCTAGTGTTTAATGGCTACCCACTGATACTTGAAAGCCAGTATCTTTACTGCCATATCTAAGAGATGCACTAATCAAGTGTGCACATAAACCGCACAACGAAGAGTGTATTGTGCTACATCTGTTGAGAAAGGGCTTCCACTTTCATCATAGAGTACCATAGACTAAAATCAACGCAGAGAGTATACCCAGTTCAAGCTCGCTTGAGGATAACTGATAGGTCTTGAGATCACTTGTTCGAGCTGATGATTAGAATTCTAGACTTTTCAAAGAGGTACTTTTCGCTGAGCTGAGCTGAATCCTTCTCATTTCATGGTGAATAGGTCAAGGAAAAATGAAACAAGAAACATGACGGGATTTCTGGCGTGCAGAAACCAGAGTAAAATGAATGAACTCTTAAAAGCACTAATGACCATTGTCTAGAAGTTTGAGCCATGGTAGCCGGGATAATAATGGACTTGTACTCTCTATATCAACTATATGATCAACATAAGACAGTAGACGCTTTAATATACACTGAAGTTTCTGGTCTAACTCCGCTTACTTCCCTTCTGTTCTACTGCTCCCCCCAATATAAAAACAAGATGTTTGTACTCTACAATAATCAAAACACCAAGGGGTTCACAATCGATTATATAGACTGTATCACTATTTTATGTACGGTACATATCAGAAGTGTATCTTTAGAAAATCTTCAATTTGCGATACACTGCTCAATGGCACCTTGTTCCAAGGACTTCTGCCAGTCAGATATTAAGTGACCGATGCTTCCATCCAAAAACAATGACAGTATACACCACGCCTCATTTCGACGACAAGAAGCTATATAATGAGCAAAGTTTTGTCTCCTCTCGTTAGGCTTCACTTATAGCACCCAGATCTTGTATATTGATGAAATGTTATGAGTTTGTAAGTGTTGGTCATACTGCGTCTCAACTTGTGAGAACCACGACAACAAAAAAGTACTTAAAGGTAACTGGGATATATCTACCAAGGTCCTATATTCCATATAGTGTAATTTTATATCATTGTCTAGTCACTACATTGCTTGTATGGAAAGTATTAGATACCTCTTTTCCACGGTCGAGCCAAAAGGTCAAGCCATTTCAAACGTTACCTCTATCGCGCTTGAGGTACCCGAAAAGTAGCAAGAAATGTAGTACAAAATTTCAACGCAAAAGAATTTACAAGAGTAATTACAATAGAATGTTTGGAAATCTAGGAAGATTGAATTTGATTAATATGAAACCTTTAGGGTATATACCCAAGTCCCATGGTAAATTTTGGTGAAGAAGAAACAGTTTTATCATGAATTAACAAGAATAACGCACGAATAATGCAAGAATAACGCAAGAAAATGAACAGAGATAAAATGATCTAAAATATTAACTGAAACATAAATATTTCAGAAAAACAGGAATACATATATGATAATTATTCTCTCTTTAGAATTCGCTGATGGAGTTATTAGAGGCTTATAAAGCTATGAGTTCTCTAAACTCTTTACCCTGCTAATTTGGTGCAAATAAAGAGAGATATCATAGGCATCTGTAGCCCCAAGTCCTTTCACCCACACACCACATCCATACCTCATGGTCAAAACAACAGCACAAACGCGAAACAAATTCCAACAGAGATTGTAAACAAATCCATAGATAAAACATCAGATACGTGTGGCTAGTACAGATCATTGTCAATCACAATGTCTCTACCAGACCCGGACATCGTTATGTCCCTATCTCCTCGGATGATCGATATGCTCGCATGTGTGAAGAAGAAAATATCAGCTTCACCAATGGCGGAGAAAAGACTCCTAAAAGACCATCTCAACGAATGTAAACATCATTTCCACACGTGTATCGAACTGTTCAACAGTCTTGAGAGCAACTTTTCTTTCAATATGGGAAATGTATTAAGTGATTTGAGAAGACGCTTTGTCGAATTCAACTTGTGTCATCAGGACATGATGTCAGATACGTCTTGGTGCCAAGATGTTGATTTTGATGCTCAGGTACAAACTAGAATCGTGCCGGATGTTGAGAATTGTGAAGGAAACGAGACAAGCGTTGCAAATAAACCATCATCTAATGAGGACACTGTATTTCTGCCACGACTAACTTTTGACTCTACTTTGCATGGAGGTAGAACTAGTTTGAAAAGCTTTCTTTTGGATACCGCAAAGTCTCTCATTAACGAAGGAATCAAGAGAAGGCAAGCAAAAGGCATCGTTGTGGAGGAGAGGTTATCTTCTTTGCACATCTTACAGCAAGCTATTCACATATACTGTCTACTGGAGCTTGGTATCTTTGTCTCCTTTATACAAAGACCTAACAATAGTTATATGGTACGGTGCACATTTTGTCAAACTAAGATCCTAGATTATGACATACAATGCTCAGTAGGTAATATCAAACAGGGACATTGCTGTGAGGTTCCAAAGTTGACCAAAAGGGCGCTGGCTAGAAGCCTTGTTGAAGTACAACATCTTAGGGGTCCTGAATTAGAGAGAGTTGTTGAACTGCTGAGGTGCGATGGCTATTTTGGTACAAACAAAGATGGAGTAGAGATTGATAGCTTCGGTTGTCTCAAAGACTATCTGCTCTATTCAAAGATCAGATTCCGCACGGTAGCTAACGTGGGTAGAGCAATATTTGAATGGCTTCAAGACGCAGATGAAACAGCACTGAAAGTATCTCGGCCCTCTGAAGATGTTTCATACCAGAGGAAATTCACTCTCACGGCGACTCATCTTATCCTGAACAATATTTACACCAAGTCAGAGGAGGAAATAGAAGATATATGCCAGGTTCAATTTGAACCGCCAGAGAAACCACTAGGCCAGCAGATGTATGAGACTGTGTACAGAGCCTTATCGGGGACATCGTTCTCCAAATTCACTGATAGAACGCAGACTGGCAAATACACGATACAGATGTTATTGACTGCCCTCTTAACATCAGATACAAATAATAATGAGAGGAATAACCAGGCCGCTGATGATGGTATACAAGATGGATTGAATAACTTCGAGATAGCGTTACTTCTACATGACAACAGGTATATCGACAACATCCTAAGCAAGGAGGATGCAATTGAGCTTTCCAGAATAATTTCCGATTGGGGAGGTGATGAACAACAGCAAGCAGTAGAGGGTGGACCTGCTTCAACAAAAGATGCAGTTGGACCTAGTGTCAGTGATACAACTTTTAAATGGAAAGAGGCACAGGACGCGTTTTTACAACAATTGGAAGGTGCCATAAGTGATCAATCTGAAGATAGTCCTGCAGCCAACTCTCAGGGTGAGAAGTTAGTACTCAACAATCTAACAGCTCTCTCTAATAAGAAGAGGGCTACACAGGCGGGTGATAAGAAGCTAAAGTTTAACATTGACAAGGCAAGAAAGTTGTTGGAAACTTTTGCAAACTCCTCAAAGCTGTCTTTGCCAGCACTCGATTTAATATCTTATTCACAAGATGAAGTCAAGTGCGTCTATTTCTCCAATTCTATTGATGACGAGTTCTACGAAAGCTTAATACCAACACTCTCATTAGATGCTTGCCATTTGTCTTTGTACAATAGTCAGGGGTACAAAGAGGATTTTCGTACATTATACACTATTGTTGGTCAGGCTGGGTCCAAGGGACTGGTTCCCCTGGGTATGATGCTTTCAAAGAATGCAGAGTGTGGATTAGAATGGTTCACCTTCCTATACACATTCTTCAAGAAGAATGATGGGTCGCATTGGAAGAAGTTACGGGAATCTCTACAATTACACAATGATAGTATCACTGAGGAGAGCATTCCCCCATTACAAATCATATCAGATCAGGATAAGGGTATCAAGAAGGCCTTGGATATGTTGAGAACCCGGTGTGGTGTTCCGATTGAGAGCTTCGCATGCTCCAAACACGTCGAAAGAAACCTCTTCAAGTACACAATCGCAAAGCATAGAAGGGTTATGCAACATAACTTTTTCCAGTTGATATTTGAATCTGATCCAGAAAAGGTCCCACTAATCCAAGAAGCAATGAAGGGGGTTTTCTTTGAGAGGCACAAGAGAGACACAGTCAACAGTACTTATAATCTCATCACCAACAAGCAAGACTGTGCTAGAGGTCTTCAGCTTTACAATTCGGTGACACCAAGGTTTGACATTATGAAATCCAACCATTGTGAGATTCTAAATGCAGAGATGTTTGCGTTTAGGCGATTGAACCCAACCAATCTCATTGTCGAAGTGCTGTCGATGCAGTGCGACAAGGTGAAATTCGCAGAGTCCATGACCTTTGATTGGAATACAGTGAGACAGATGCCTCAATATGATGATGAAATGAATGATGCCAGCGATTTCGATGACGGGAGCGACCCAGATGATGCAAGCAACTTTGCTGATGAAGAGGACGAACCGGAACATGCCGAGATACTCACAAACTATGGCTATTTCTTGTACTCAACAACCATTATCACTTCTTGTTGTCTAAATAGCAAAGAGACTAGTGTAACCGTTGATGAGAGTTCACCTGGAACCAAAGTGACGACTCACAAGCATAGCGTATCGTGGGACTGTGGTTTGTCTCTTAGGGATCTTTTAAAGGTACTGCGAGTTTATGTGAAGAAGATGAGAAGACGTGATTCGTTTGTCAACTTTCGTGCTTATGTTTATCATCAATTGCGAGCCAGAACAGCCGTTGTTACTGAGAAGCGATGCACCATCTCAAAAGAGGGGAAAACAGAAGAAAAGTCTACGTACAGTTGTTCCCATTGTCGCAATCAAGCGTATACATTCTTCGAATGTCCACATATCACTTGTGTGAAGATGAGAAGGGTTCTCAACGGCTACGCCCTTATCCCATCAATGCCACGACTTGCCAAAGAGATTATCTATGAGGACAGTAGAAAGAGGCGCTCCAATTACACACCACCAATATTCGAATACCAGAGCTGTTTTTCAAAGGCCAATAGATGTATCATACGGAAGACGGCATCTCAAACTTCCAGATCAGCGGTGAAGCACTTCGACTCGCAGGTTTTACTGAAGGCGATCCAAGCGTTAAAAGATGATAAAAAAACCATGAGTAACATCAGAAAGAACTCTAAGAAGAGGCAAAGGATAGCATGTTCTTCCAATAGGATTCCTTCCGCAGGTGAGAAGAAGAGAGGAAGAGGACGACCAAAAAAGTCAGAACAGAAGAGGAACTACAAGGCTAGAAAGCTTATGGAAGAAGCAAAGGCAGATTCAATGAACCCGCCTCCAACGTAAGATGGCTCTCGTACAGAATCCTCATAGTTTATCATAATGATCAATGTATTTTTGATAGTTTCTAAGTTGTACTTACCCAACCATATTTTACCAGAGCAGTGCCGTCCCCTCCTGTATCCATATGCACTGTATCCATAGAAACGGACCAATACTCCATCCTTCCTACCCATATCTACTATAATAAGCGCATATCAATACATATGCCTACATATTATTGCATAATGGTAGAGACAGCATGTGAACATGTGAGTTCTCCTCTTTGATTTTATATGCGCTGGGTTTCTCGTTCCATAAAACCCATCATTCTTCTCACCTCATAGCTGTTTGAAG